TCGAGGCCCTGGCCCCACAGGGAGCTCCACCGAAGCTTCATTTCGGCACACCCCTCTCGAGGATCGTGGCCCTGGCCCCACAGGGAGCTCCACCGAAGCTTCATTTCGGCACACCCCTCTCGAGGATCGTGGCCCTGGCCCCACAGGGAGCTCCACCGAAGCTCCATTTCGGCACACCCCTGTCGAGGATCGTGGCCCTGGCCCCACAGGGAGCTCCACCGAAGCTCCATTTCGGCACACCCCTCTCGAGGATCGTGGTCCTGGCCCCACAGGGAGCTCCACCGAAGCTTCATTTCGGCACACCCCTCTCTAGGATCGTGGCCCTGGCCCCACAGGGAGCTCCACCGAAGCTTCATTTCGGCACACCCCTCTCGAGGATCGTGGCCCTGGCCCCACAGGGAGCTCCACCGAAGCTCTATTTCGGCACACCGCTCTCGAGGATCTTGACCCTGGCCCCACAGGGAACTACACCGAAGCTTCATTTCGGCACACCCCTCTCGAGGATCGTGGCCCTGGCCCCACAGGGAGCTCCACCGAAGCTTCATTTCGGCACACCCTCTCGAGGATCGTGGCCCTGGCCCCACAGGGAGCTCCACCGAAGCTTCATTTCGGCACACCCCTCTCGAGGATCGTGGCCCTGGCCCACAGGGAGCTCCACCGAAGCTTCATTTCGGCACACCCCTCTCGAGGATCGTGGCCCTGGCCCCACAGGGAGCTCCACCGAAGCTTCATTTCGGCACACCCCTCTCGAGGATCGTGGCCCTGGCCCCACAGGGAGCTCCACCGAAGCTTCATTTCGGCACACCCCTCTCGAGGATCGTGGCCCTGGCCCCACAGGGAGCTCCACCGAAGCTTCATTTCGGCACACCCCTCTCGAGGATCGTGGCCCTGGCCCCACAGGGAGCTCCACCGAAGCGCCATTTCGGCACACCCCTCTCGAGGATCTTGACCCTGGCCCCACAGGGAACTCCACCGAAGCTTCATTTCGGCACACCCCTCTCGAGGATCGTGGCCCTGGCCCCACAGGGAGCTCCACCCTGGCTCCACAGGATCCTTAGAATATCCGATAGGGATCCTATAGTATCGTAGAGTATCCTGTAGGGATCCCTATAGTATCCTATTGGGGTCCTGTAGGTATCCTATAGGATCCCTATCGTATCCTATAGGGATCCTATAGGGATCCTATTGTATCCTATAGGGATCCTATAGGGATCCTATAGGGATCCTATTGTATCCTATAGGGATCCTATAGGGGTCCTATAGTATCCGATAGGATCTTATAGGTGTCCCTATAGGATCGTGTAGGTGTCCCTATAGGATCGTATAGGGATCCTATAGGGACCCTATAGGGATCCTATAGGGATCCTATAGGGATCCTATAGGATCCCTATAGGATCGTATAGGGATCCTATAGGGACGGGACCCTACAGGGAGCCTATAGGGATCCTATAGGATCCCTATAGGATCGTATAGGGATCCTATAGGGACCCTATAGGGATCCTATAGGGATCCTATAGGATCCTATAGGGATCCTCTAGGGACCCTATGGGATAGGGATCCTATAGGGTCCTATAGGATCCTATAGGAATCCTATCGGATTCTATGAGATCCAATAGGAATCCTATAGGATCCTATACTATCCTGTAGGGCCTCCGGTCCGGAGCCTCGCCGGAGCAAACGTCGGAACCTGCTTGGCGTTTCGTTGGGCGGACATAAGGAACGGTTTTTTGTTTTTTGTCGGGTTGCTGGGTTGCTGGGTTGCTGGGGGGGGGGGGCTAGCAACGGCGACCTTGTCGTCCGCCTTGAGTACTAGTAGTCGAGGCGGTCAGAGCGAGCGCGTCGGGACGCGTCTCTCATGACGGCCTTGACCTTGTTGTTGTCGTTGTCGTTGTTGTTGATGTTGTTGTTGATGTTGCTGTTGCTGTTGCTGTTGTTGTTGTGGTTGTTGATGATGTTGTTGTTGTTGTTAATGTTGAATTTTCACTTCTGAAGAATAATTATTGTTGATCCCCCCCGTCCGGTGCACATTGTTTTTCCGATTGAAGTGCCATTCCCGGGTCTCGCACCCTGCTTTCTATCATGAAGAGTATTGGGAGTCAAATTGTGTCGTTGGCCCCCATTTACAACAACAGCGTCAACGGCTCCCGCCTGATACTTCCTCACAATTGATTAAAGAATCGCGCTCTCGCTTGGGACTTCCTTGCAACTTACCACCGAATCGCGGCTCCCGCCTGATACTTCCTTACATGTTATTCAGATGCCGCCCCTCGACACTCAGGAATCGCGCTCCCGCTACATATTGCCTGGCGGTTCAAGCAGACTTTACGCTTCAACGACCCGCCCGTCTGGGCCTGTCCGCACGACCAGCTCGTTAGGGACTGCAGTCGCCGCTCGCTGCCCTTCGCCCGCCTTCGATGCCCCTCGCTGCCCGTACTGGTTCCGCGGTCGCCTTCGCTCGCTGCCCTTCGTGGCCCCGTTGCTGCCCTTAGTGGCCCCGTCGCTGCCCACTGTGGCCCCGCATTATATGCCCTTCGTGGCACCCGCTCGCAGTCGCGTCGTGTCCCCAAACGCATGCCCTTCGTGGCCCCGCTGTCGCCCTTCGTGGCCCTCTCGCTGCCCTTCGTGGCCCACTTTCTGCGCTCAGTGGCCCCGCTGTCGCCCTTTGTGGCCCCATATACGAATGCCCTTCGTGGCCCCCGCTCCTTCGCGCCCGTCGTAGCCCCACATGCATGCCCTTCGTGGCCCCGTTGTCGCTGTTCGTGGCCCCCTCTCTGCCCTTCGCGGCCGCGTTTCTGCCCTCAGCGGCTCCGTCGCTGCCTTCTGTGGCCCCGGATTAATTGCCCTTCGGGGCCCCCGCTGGATCGCGCCCTTCGTGGCCCCACATGCATGCCCTTCGTGGCCCCGCTGTCGCCATTCGTGGCCCTCTCGCTGTCCTTCGTGGCCCACTTTCTGCGCTCAGTGGCCTCGCTGTCGCCCTTTCTGGCCCCACATATGTATGCCCTTCGTGGCCCCCGCTCGTTCGCGCGCGTCGTGGCCCCATATGCGTGCCCTTCGTGGCCCCGCTGTCGCTCTTCGTGGCACCCTCTCTGCCCTTCGTGGCCCCGTTTCTGCCCTCAACGGCTCCGTCGCTGCCCTCTGCAGCCCCCTATACGTATGCCCTTCGGGGCCCCCGCCCGTTCGCGCCCGTCGTGGCCCGCGCCAACAACGGCTCCCGCCAGATCCTTAAAATGTATTGAAGAATCGCGCTCTCGTTTGGGACTTTCTTGCAATTTTCCACCGGATCGCGGTCGCCGCCTATTATTTCCTCACAGTTCATTGAGAATCGCGCTTTCGCTTTGGACTTTTTTCGCAACCGTACGCATGCCATTCGTAGCCCCGCTGTCGCCCTTCGTGGCCCTCTCGCTGCCCTTCGTGGCCCCGTTTCTGCCCTCAGCGGCTCCGCTGTCGCCCTTTGTGGCCCCATATACGAATGCCCTTCATGCCCCCGCTCGCTCGCGCCCGTCGTGGCCCCACATGCATGCCCTTCGTGGCCACGTTTCTGCCTTCAGCGGTCCCGTCGTTGCCCTCTGTGGCCCCGGATTAAATGCCCTTCGTGGCCCCCGCTGGGTCGCGCCCTTCGTGGCCCCACATGCATGCCCTTCGTGGCCCCGCTGTCGCCATTCGTGCCCCGCTCGCTGCCCTTCGTGGCCCACTTTCTGCGCTCAGTGGCCCCGCTGTCGCCCTTTCTGGCCCCATATATGTATGCCCTTCGTGGCCCCCGCTCCTGCTTGTCGGGGTTGTCGCGGGCATAGTAGATGAGGGCCTCCAGCATAGCCTCGTCATCGTTGGTGAACAGCGGCTTGCCGTGGTCGAGCTTGTCCATGCCCTCGGTCTTGCGTTTTCTGGCACTGCGGTGTAGAGGGTCGTCCACGAGCCTCCAGCGCTGGCCGGTCCTGAAGAACTCGAGCAAGACCTTGGCGGCACGATCCTTGGTGAGACCGTCGGCGAGCATAGCGTCGCTGTGAACCCAACGTATCTGGAGGGCTGTCTGCTCCTTCTGCTGTCGAATGCCTAGACACTCGATGCTCGTACGTTTGTCGCGTAGTCCAAGACCAGCCGACTCACTCTTCTCGATAGCGTCGTAGCCCGACTTGCCGTCTGTGACTAGCACGCCAGGGCAGGATGAGATGGCGTCGTTCACGTGCTGCTTGTTCGTGTAGTCCACTTGGCCGCACTCCAACTCATAGATGAACAGGCGCACGTAGCTGATCTCGTCTAGGGTCTCCGTCATCCTCTGAACCTCCGCACTCGTACTGCTTCTGGCGACTCGCGGTAGTTTGCACGACCTCCAGGAGATAGGTGCCACTGTCTCAGTCGAGCCGCTCAGGAAAGACAGTGGGGCCAACACGATCATCTCGCCACCTTGGGACTCGCCGGTGATACGGGCAGCCCAGGCTGCGTCGCCCCAGCCAACCACAGCGATATGCTCAATGGCGGGGATGAGCATGACCACGTCGGCAGTATCGTTCCTGGTGCGGATGAGTTTGTTGATCTTCTGGATGGTCGAGACCGTAGCCGTAGGTATCTCCGCTTGAAGTAGAGCGACTTCAGCACTTAGCCACGTGGCGGACTGTTGAGCTCGCCAGCCGACTGCACCAAGTCGTCCTCGTAAGTCTGATCTCTCTTTGTCCGAGACTCCGTCTGTAGGTTTCCGTCCACGTCGTATCTTGATGGGCTCCACGTTCAGGCTGTAGCTGTCCTGTGCGAGACTGCAAGTGAAATCCTCGTTTTGACGGATGCTGATACCACGCTGCACGAATGCTCGGCTTTCCCAGGGTGTCCACTCGAATGCTTGTTGGATCTTGTCGCTTCTTGAGAAAGCCCGCGTGAGTATGATCGCCGGCAATCATCATGTCGTCAACGTGTAGGATGACCGTGCCGACCAGCGTAGTGCTGTCTCGGATGGCCCAGACGCATGGCTCGCACTGTATCACTTCCAGCTGCAGCATCTTGAGCGTTTCTTTGAAGTGTAGCCACCACTTGCGAGGAGCATGTACGAACCCGTACATCGGCTTGAGAAACTGCAGGACCTCGTCGTCTTTCATGCCGAAGGCCTGACGTACGTCCTTCGGGGGGTCCGCATAGATCTTCCGCTTCTCCTCGTCCGTTTCTCCCTGGAGGAAGGCAGTCACGGCATCGGCCTTCTCCAGCTTCCACTTGTGTCTCGCTGCCATGGCCAGTAGAAGTTGACGTGCCCGTCGCGATGCAACGGGAGACTCCGTCCGTAGATGAAGCAGGTCGGGGTCGCTGAAGCCGAGCACGACCAATCTGGCCTTGCCCCTGAGAGCGTTGCCCTTGTCACCCTTCTTCCAGGTCAGCACGAAACGGCAGCGCAACAGACGCGTTGGGTCGATCCCCTGTCGACTGAGGATCCTGACGGCCTTCGTGCTGAGGACGGAGGTGCACTCCTTCTGCTGTGCCTCGAGTAGCAGCTTCTTCTCCTCTGGGGTCGCCTTCTTGAATGAGACTTCGACTCGGCCCTTCCGGGCCTGCGATGCCACGAAGTTGCTGGGGTCGTCCATGTAAGCCATGAACATGTGCTCTTTGTGGACAGGGATGTCCAGCACGATGAGCTCGTCGTCCTCCTTGACCTCGTCATACGGCTGGACGCTGTAGGCGTAGTCCCCGTAGAAGTTTGCCTCCTGCAGGTAATAGGAATAGTCCTCCTGGGTCGCCAAGTTGATCCGCTGCTTCTTGATCGGGGGCTCCGTAGATCCTGGCGATCGTAGCCGACGCTTGTCATTGTCGTTCAGCGCCGTCGTCTCGTCCAACTCATCGTCCGTGTCCACGGCCAGAGGTTGCTGAGTCGAGGGGGGTTCTTGATGCTCATCTGGAGGAGTCTCCATGATGATTTCATCTTCTGCAGTCGGTTCGGCTTCGGCTGGCTGCCCAGCTTCGTGGTCTTCAGTCTGTGGAATACCTGGTGGACCTTCTGGTGGTGCTGGCTGGATGAGAGGTTCCTGGGCCTCGGTGGCCTTATCCCAGGGATTGCACTTCCTCCGTAGTCGCCTTGGCGGTCGCGGGCCTGGGAGCGGTCGTTCCTCGAGGCCTGGTGGGGCTGATGGGGCCCCACCGCCTCCGCCGCCGCCTGGGTCCAAGCTCCGGGGATCTCCTCGTGGAACAGGTAGTTCCTCGTCTTCAGGGATGGCCCAGGGCCCGCTTGCGTTATTCTCGAAGGTGCGGGCGCTGACCGACTCTCCGTCGTCAGCGGCCAGGTCCTCACCAGAGGGTGGGGACTCGTTCGACAGGTCGATCACCTCGTTCGTGTCGAGCTGCTTTTGGACGTCGCCGAAGGTCCATGTTCCAGGCTGCTCGCGGCGCGAGCGTAGCGACGCCATCGCCTCCTCGGAAGGCGTGGCGGGCCGAAGTTGTTCGGGAGCAACTCGGTAGAGTCGTCCAGCTAGCGCGATGTTGACCACCGTCCCGGGCAGACCAGGTCGATGTCCTGAGCTGGCAGGCCCATGGCAGAGTACTCGTCCAGGTCCGTACCAGCGGCCTCGCCCTGGCATGGATCGGGGTTGTCCTTTCTTGCGCCAGGCTCCTGGTGGGAGTCGCCGGTAGACGAATGCCAGGTCGCCCGTCTCGTACTTCTCGGACGATCTGAATCTTGCGGCCTCCGCACGCTTGACTCGGTCGGAGTTCTCCGTCTGGATGGGAGCTAGCCGTGCCATCCGTCGTACTTGAGCGTCCCTGCTGAAGGTGCCGTCTTGCAGCTCAGCGCTGATGAGCGGCAGGTTGGTCGGCTCGTTGAAGAGATCGACCGTGGTGCCAGTGGGTGCCCGTCCCGCATAGCGCTGCAGTGGACTGAAACCGTCGATCCTGATCAGGTTGTTCCTGGCTGCTGTCTTTAGTCCGAACATCTCGCTCGCGGGAACTTCAGCTGAGTCATCTCGTCGAAGGCGTCAAGGGCCTCCTTGAAAGCTTCAATGGCTCGTTCGATCTTGCCGATCTGCCAGTGGGCGTCGGCAGCGCATGGGAGGCAGTAGACTCCCTGGCTCTCGATCCGCTCGCGGAATTCGTCGGAGATGGCGCTCCCGGCTGGATCATAGCGCATGACCTTCGGCCGCCCCATCCAAGTGAACCACTTCGTAGCAAAGATGCGTCGAAGGTCGCCCGCCCGAACTTGTCGGCAGGTCTCTGGGATCGCTTTCTCGTCGATAAGCCGCACGTAGAGTATGTCCGAGCCAGCGTCGAGGATCGCTAGCGCCATCACGTTGGTGTTCGTGCTGCGACGGATCCAAGAGAAGGCGTCGAACAAAACTTCGTGACAATTCTGAGGCTGCTCTGCTGAGGAAGCTGGTGGCCGCTTCGTCGGTGGTCGGTGAGCATCACAGATGTCGCACTTGAAGGTTCTGGCCAATCGTAGCACCTCAGGTCTCGCGCCTCGGTCTCGTAGGTAACGTAGAAGATGTGCTCGAGGTAAATGTCCCAGGTGGGTGTGAACCAGCTTGATGCAGCTCTCGAGCATCTTGACTGTGTCGCTGGTGAGGTCGCGTGACTCCTTGCCATCTAGTGGTGGAATCGATGTCTCGTCCTCCTCTGGAGTCGGCTCAGTAGGTGGCTGCTGGGTGGCGGCCATACAGAAATTCACGACCTCTTCTTCGAAGTAATTCTGATTCTGGCTCTTGGTCAGATCTCGGAGGATCCGGCGGCGCAGCATCTTGGGATAGGAGCCCGAGGCCTCGGTCCTCAGACTGCTCTCGATCTCCTCATGATAGTGTCCTCCACGGCATTGTAGCGGCTGGAGGGCCACCCAGATCCTCTTGTCGTTCGTCAGGAATTTCCAGCGCTTCTTCATGAGCTCGCCTGTGTCCGGGGCTTTGAGTCCGCAGACGCAGCCGTCTACGATCACCTCGTAGGGGAGAATATTGTGCAGGTCCTTCCAGCAGGTCTTCTGCCACGAACGACTGTTGTGTGGCTGGTCGACGAGGGCCGAGCCATTCAGGTGAAGCACCTGATGCTCGATGAGCCACTTGTTGTTCTCGAAGATCCGCTGGCTCTTGAGTCGCTTCTTGCGCAGATTCTCCTTCTGCTTGTCGTCGCGCTGGTTGATATTCTGCATAATCGACCACGGCCCGCAGGGAGGTGTGCTGACGAGGAGCTCCGGGCGCCTCTCGTCCAGCAGGAACTTCGCCTTGTGGTAGCCCTGCGGCTTGCTGTCCTCGTCCTGCCCCCGCACGCCTGGTGGCACCACCTGAAGGGCCTCACCTTCACGATCGGCTCGTTCTTCGCGATGCCCCGCTGCTGCTGACAATCTGGGTGCTGGCACATCTGCGTGTAGTGCGCTGGGATCGCCTGGCCCACAACGATAGGCCCCGTCTCCACCTTCTTGGTCTCCGGCCCCCTCTTGACCCTGATCGTCGCTGCCGCCGTTCCGCGCTGCTCGATGATGTGCGCGATGAGCCTGTCGATCACCTCCTTCTTGCCGGACTGTGTCAGTCCCCAGGTCTTGCACAGGGGCTTCAGGTGATTGACCACCGTCACCATGTTGAGCTTCTCGTAGATCTGTTCCGAGCTGAGCGCTGCAAACGCATCCACCGTCGCAAACTTGGTCGAGAAATCGGACTTTGCGGTCTCGATGTTGGCCCGCAGCTCCTGGTTCTGCTCTCGAGCGGCCGCGGATGCGGCTGACCTCTGCTTCGTCTCCGTCCTGGGGCGCTGTGGCTCGATCTTCGCACGATGCCCGAGCTCCGCCGGCCAGGTCGGGTACTTCTCGGGCAGCAGCTGCACAGGGAGGCCGATGCTGTCCAGCTTCCAGGTCACCCGGTCGATCGTCTTGAGGAAGACCTTGATGATGACCCGCCCCCAGCGGCGGCACATCGTCCACTGCTTCAGGAGCTTGCTGGACCACATCTCCCAGGTCGGCAGGTGTTCCAGTAGGAAGGTGTCCGACAGGCGCTTCAGGCTCTTGTCCAGCTCCGAGCACTCGACCGTGCAGAATATATTGCCCCTCGTGTCCTGATGCTGGATCAGACGAGCCGATGGCGGCATCGGCTGCGTAGGTCTCGTTGAAGTCGGAGGACGAGTCGGAGCGCCTGCATCCAGTGGCGGCACCGCTTCCCATGATCCGACCATCTCCTCGTTCTCCAGCTTCACCTGCTGGCTCTCGGCTTTGCGGCATTTCGCCTCGCGATTGAGGCTCATGCGAATATGGAAGAAATGCTGGTTCCTGGAATCTGAGCTCTGGGCTCGGATCTATTGCGCCATAAATGGCTCTGGAAAGTGGGGGCGTTGGGGTCTGAAGCTCTGGGAACTTAAGGATCTCTGGGAGAGCCTCTGTAGGTGTTCCTGATAATGTCATAGTAGGTGCTGTAGGGGACGATTCTGATGATGTCCATGACGTTTGTAAGGATGATGTCCCTGTAGTCGTAGGTAATGATGATGTCCCCGTGGTCCCAAGTAATGATGATGTCCCCGTGGTCGTAGGTAATGATGATGTACCCGTAGTCGTAGGTCATGATGATGTACCTGAGGCTTGTGGGGCTCCATTGTCTGGGACCTCGTCGGGGACCTCGTGGGGTACAGCTGCAGACGGTCTAGATATCTCGCTTTGGATTGGCTGCTTATTTTCAGGTTTTCCCTCCGGCACCGTAGCAGTCTCGGGCGTCGAGGGCGCGCGCCCCTATTCGAGGGGCGCCGCGAAGCCAAAATCGGCTTGACGTACAAGTGGCAGTGTAGGGTGGCCGCTCGGAAGGACGAGCAGCTCAGCTCGGCGCCCGAGCTTCTTGAAGTAAACAGCGTGTGCCTCGCAGTCAATCGCAGCCCCGATGCGGCTCAGCACGTCCACTCCGATCAGGAGCGGGGCGTCTGCGTCGAGGATGTTGATCTCTAGCTCGCCGTCCACACCGGCGATCATAAGGGGAAAGGTCGCCTTGCCGGTGCAGGTCCTGGCATTGCCGTCGCCAAATATAAACGTACTCTGCTGACTAACGTCCATCTTGATGTTCTTGCCCGTCTGCTCGTAGATAATGTCGCGTAGGTTCTCGGCGGCCTCTATGCCCATGATGCTGGAGGTCGCGCCGATGTCGAGAATGCCGGAACCCTTGGAGGAGCTTTGTTTGACACTCCTGAGAATCCAGTCCTCGGCCTTCTCCAGGGTAGACCAGATCGGTAACTTCTCGTGCTTGACTCGTTCTCGCAACTCGATGGCCCCCTCGATCGGCATGTAGGAATTCTTGTCCAGCTGCTTCTTCTGGTTGGCGGTCTTCGGCCGATCCTTGATCACTGGCTTGTTGGCAAGGGACGCTTCCAACCGCAGCCTGGACATCTCGTTCGTGATGAGGTTAGCTTCCATCTCGGCATCCTGCTCGGTGCCGAAGAAGCCAAACGCTCCGAACCTTTTTGTGTGTCGGTCTCGGTCGCCCCGGCTGCCAGTAGAAGATGCGCGTTCTCGATCTCGATGATCCTTGGTCTCGCGGTTACCGCCGCACTTCAGACATGGTCTTTTCCTGGGAGGCTGGCCTTGGGAGCGATCTCCTTCTCGTCGGGGTGGTCCGTCACGTCGCTGTCCGCTCCCGCGGCCTCGCCCCTGGGATGACCCTGAGCCTCTAGATCCAGCCGGGGGTCCTGGCGGTTTGCGATGTCCACTTCGGTATTCTCGCTTCTTGTTCTCATCCACGGGGTAAAGTTTCCTGGCGGTCTTCACTCGTCGCAATAAATCTCGGGCCTCCTCGAAGCTTCTCTGCTGGGCGGCGAAAGCGGTCTCGGCTTCCTCGATCTCCTGGGCACTGTAGAGCGGCTCCTCGGGGTCTTCCTCATCCTCCTCGTCGCCCTGGCTGTCGTAGGTCGCCTCGGACTCGTGCTCTTCGTAGTAGCTGTAGTCGTCGTCCTCCTCGCAGTTCGCCTCCCAGCCGGCATGGATCCGTCCACGATCTCGGTGACGAAAATCCTTGCCCTGCTTCTTGTCCCGACTGGTCAGCTCATCATCTGGCCAGGAAACTCGTAACTGCTCTCCGATTCTGTCGTAGTCGAAGTTACCCTTGAATGCGCTGATGACCGCTGCCCGCTCCGTCGGTGTCAGTCTCGATCGCTGTAGCAGTAGCCATCCGCGCAGCTGGTCTAGGGGCATCGCCTGGTTGAAATCCGTCCCGAATTCGGGATGCTCTGGGATCTCCTGAAGGCCCGTCTTGACGAAGTCCCAGAGCGAGTGGTTCAGCTCCTTGGCCTTCTCCGCAGCGTCCTCCGGGCCCTCCTGCTCGATCTTATACAGGAACCAGTTGAGCTCTCCGTAGAGGTTATTCCACTTCTTGGCTCTCGCCGAGAGTCGGGTTGTGCGCTGCTTCTTGAAATACTTGGTGTCGAATCCCTTGACCCCGTCATGGTAGGCCGCATCGTCTCTGCTGATGTAGCTCGGCATCGGTTCTCCAGTGTCCCGTCGTAGATCGAAGATCCATATTGCTAAATACTTTCCTGCATCCTGGATGGGTTGAGCTCCGAGCTTTGCTCTCACATGTCTGAGCAACTCGGTCGCTCCGTCGTCCTTCTCGATGCGGTCCCAGTTGACATCTTTGGTTGCTTGCCTCGCTCGTCCTTCCAGTCGTCTCCATAAACGTGGGCCGCATACGTATCTCTCATCTCGACGGGTCCCTCGGATGTAGGCCTTGACATCTCTCTCATAGTCATCCACCGTGGTGGGATCTCCGTTCCACTTTGGTACGATATCGTCTCCACTATTCTTTGCCATGGCTGGAACGTCTATAAACGTGAATCTGTAGTCCGTGGAGCGTATGCTCCGTTACCATGCAATGGTCCCGCTGATAGACCACTGCCCTGATATAATCCAGAATACTTAT